AGCTGTCAGCACAGAGCCCGACACGGGGCTCGAACCCACGAGCCCTGAGATCATGACCTAAGCCTAACCTAAGCCGCAGCTGGATGTTTAACCAACTGAGCCACCCAGGCGCCCCTTGTGGTAGATATTTTCAATAATAGTATAAATATTCTCAGGGATAGCTTAGAACTACTGAAAAATAACAAGCTAAGAATCAAATACTGTGTGTAATCCACAAGGTAAGATATTTATACTATTTCTCTTTATTATAAAAGATAATGAATTAGATCGACTTCAGGCTAGCTGATTTGGAAAACATGAATATTCTTAGTTTTCTCGTAATTTCATAAAATACCCTGCATATAGATAATCAAATAAATTCTTATAGATGGAATGCTTACTCTTTGCCAAGGACAGTGCTAGATTCTGGAGATTTCAGATAAATAAAACTCAGCCCCTGTCCTTGAGAGATGTACATTTTAGAGGGATAGTACAACCAACCGTTAATTTCAAGGCAAAATGCAAGAGCAAGGATGCACAGTATATATGGTTATATAGAGAGGGGGTAATTAGTTCAGCTTGGTGGGGGAGTTAATGGTTAAGGAAGGCTTCCTGAAACTGACACTTGAAGCTGAGTCTTGAAGATCAGTAGGATAAGAAAGGGCATGAGAGTGCCTGAGTGATATGGAGTCTCTAGACAGAGGTATCAGTGAGCATAGGCATGAAGGCAAGAAGTCTCATACAAGGGCAATTATAAACAGTTTGTTATTACTGTGGCTCTCCATTTTATGAAGTGAATGATGGGAGATGATGGAGAAAGATGAGGGTAAAAGCTAGGGCACCTGGGTGGCTCAGTCTGTTAAGTGTCTGGTTCTTGATTTTGGCTCAGGTCATGATCTCAGGGTTCGTGGGATCAACCCTACATTGGGTTCTGCACTGACAGTGCAGAGCCTGCTTGAGAGAATCTCTCCTCTCTCTCTCTCTGCCCCTCCCCTACTCATATGTGTGTGCATTCTCTCTCTCTCTGTCTCTCTCTCTGTCTCTCTCTCTCTCTCAAAATAAATAAATAAACTTAAAAAAATATGAGTGTAGAAGCTAAATTGTGAAGGACATTTTTTAACCATGCAAAAGATTAACTTGGATTTTGTCCTATAGGTGATGGGAAATAGACAAAGATAAGCAAGGGGATGATTTGGTCTGTGTTCAATTAGACCACTTTGGTGTTGGGAATATATTAGAGGGGGCTTGAAGTAAAACTAGAAACAAGGAAAGTATGTAAAAGGAGTTTGCTCTCATCCAGGCAATGGTGATGAGGACTGAACTAGGGTAGCATAAGTACGGATGGAGACAAAAGGGAGAGAATGGAGAAATAATGTTCACAAATAGAATTAACTTTTCAACTGTGGGTATCCATTAAATTATACACAGATATGGATAAAGAGACTAGTTTATTCCAAAACCAGAGAAAATTTAAAACTTCAACTCAGCCAATAATCTCCACCTTTTCCTTACATTTACCATAAAATACTAAACAGCAGCAAAAGTGATGATTGTGAATTTCATTCAGTTTCTTCTGTTCTCTACTTACTCTTCTATGGAAGAGTCACAAAGTAATAATTAAATAAAATAGTTAAAGAATGGGAAGGAAAGTCAATGAAAGGGAGAGAAAATCCACATGTAGATAATGCCTCCCTGAACAAGGAGGAATAATTCCAGTTGAATGAAATCCACTTACTTTACACTATACCAAGGTAGTATATTATACTCCAAAAATTTTGCAAGTAATTAAAAACTTACTGTATATTTTACTTAAGGCCTAGGAATAATTATTATTCCAGTTCAACATATAAAGTCAGTCACTGCATTTAAAAAGAATTAAACCTCTTGGGGTGCCTGGATTGTTCAGTTAGTTAAGCATCTGACTCTTGATTTGGGCTCAGGTCATGATCTCA